CTACTCTTTTCCGTGCTCATTCTACTCTTTACCGTGCTCATCCTACTCTTTACCGTGCTAATCCTACTCTTTTCCCTGCTCATCCTACTCTTTTCACTGCTCATCCTACTCTTTTCCGTGCTCATCCTACTCTATTCCCTGCTCATCCTACTCTTTTCCGTGCTCATCCTACTCTCTTCCGTGCTCATCCTACTCTTTTCCGTGCTCATTTCTGATAATTCACTTATTTTCTGCAACCTTTAATGTACACGCTGAAGTTTTACAATAATAACACGTTGAGATGGGTCATCTTTTTCTATTACTCTTTTTTTTTACTCCAAACTATTTTACCTTACCATACAAGTAACAATATAATATCAACAATTGAAAACAACTGGACACATTTTAATGTAAATCGAGTCAGCAAAGAGACATCAGGTAAATATACATTAATAATTTGGTTGAATCAAACGTGTTTTTGGGACTATCCATCGATGTGACAAATATTATACAACACTGCCCTTCCGTTTTCAGGTTCTTCGACCCTCTTTTTGACATGCATATCGACATACTTAGTAAAAAGACGATTTCTGGCATGAATAGTCGAATACTGTGAGAAAATGCGTTTGTTCTCTTTAGCGGTTGTATTCCACTCCGATCTGCACTTCCCTAAACCTGTTTCCAAAATGTCATCTACCGCTTCATCAAAGTACCTCTCTACCTTATCAGACACGTCCAACATCAAACATTCGTGATTTTTCTGGGTTAAGTCTTCGGCTATTGGTAGATTACATCCATAACATTGCTCGCTACACATTTCATCTACTTTCTTGAGAATGCAAGGAACGAATATCGACTGAATTATGTTAAATGCAAGGTCTTTACAGGCCTCGCGTTTCTTCTGCTCCTCCGGTGTCCCGCTGGGCTTGGTGTATGGTACAGCGTCACCTGTATACCCCCGTGGAAAGTCATCTTCCGGATCCGACGTAGCCTCATCACTCTGAGCATCGCCGTCACGTTTCATCTTCTTGCTTCCTTGATTCTTAATTTAAAAAAAAAAAAAAAAGAGAAGAAAAAAAAATTCATTAACATTTTACGTTATGAATTTGGAATGGAAGCCAACTGCATGTGTGATGAACGGAGGTAAACAATCCGGAAGAACGACTATGATTTATGCTCACCTCCAGTTTTTCAACACTACAAGGTGGTTGGCACCCAGGTTTAAATAGGCACCTTATCCCGGCCCATCACGCCTGTTGCCGCCGAGGATCGACCGTCCACGTCTGCGATTTCCCTGCAAACGCCGACAACAGCAGGTAATTCTATTTCGCTGAAGAGCCATGCATAATTTCATTCATGATGTCACCTCTAATTAACTTATTTAACACTTCAATTTCTGATCTCGGAAAACCTTTAGAAACAATCACAGAGCAAGGAACCAGGGTAAGATCACACAACGTAGACCTAATATTAATTGACAAGAAAATGAAGCGCTGGGATAACAACCCCTTGGGACAAAACAAATCCTTGAGTGTTCAGCCTATAATGGCCAAATTAACTTGTCTAGTTAATAGTGACCACACAGGCGAGAGAAGGGAGGACTTCGGTTCCGGACCATGCATACCAAAAGCCGTCCTGGGTGCAATAAATCTTTGAAGCCGAATGGTCCTCTAATGAATTATTACCCCTATAATGACAAGACAGTAAAGAATTCAGGCATTAAACCAATTGTCTATGTACGGTCAGAACAGTATTTTGCCAGAACGATTAAGGCCAGTTTTCCCATTGTAATAATTCGCGAAAGCTTATATAATAATTCATAGAGTATCGAATTTTGATGTTATTTAGAACCAGGAAGTGTTATACGCAAAGATGTAGAATTTTATATCTATGGTTATACGCATCGAGTATACGCAGTACGCACGCGGTTGATTCACGTTTATTCTGGTGTAGAAGATCCGTGGTTGATTCACGGGCTAAATCACGCGCCATCGCGCCGCCGTTTGTTCGCGCCAGCCATGCAGTAGTGCGTTGGGCGATGTGCTTAAAACAAAAATCCCCAAATAAAATTAATTTCATGCATGAACATTACTCTTAACAATAATAATAAAAAAAAACCTACTTCAAATTACGTACCGCTGAATTATTTCATGTGAAAATTGTGAAATATTCAATGGAGGATTTACGAGATTTGAGTTTCACCATTGTCCTTTTTGAAGAGTATTATTTACTTGAGATACCTATCATAGCTATAAAAATGATAACTTCGACCCTGAATAGTATAAGATGTATTTTAAAGTGTGAAATCAATTACATTCTCAGAATATTCCTTATGAACGCGTCAGCGGATCACAACCGTTTGTCGTGGGTGGGGAATCCCCCTCACATTCACAGGAAACAGGGAGGTTAGCCGGGATGTGGATTGTAGTGGCTGATTGCAACGGGATGGAGAGTATTGCTTATCTGATAAAAATTAAAAAAACATTGTTTTAAACAATAATGTAAAAAGTTTGAATGTAAGAACTGCTTTATATTGAATGTGTCTGTACGGATCTGGGGTAACTGGATGGGTTTTAAGCTCATGTGAACTCGTTTCCACTGTCAATGACTGTTACTTCTGGCCGATAAAGTTCTGCTTGATTTTATTCTCTGTATTCCTATATTCTGTTCTTCCTTTTCTGTCTTTGCAAGGTTATGCTGTCTTTACAAGGTTTTTCTTTTCTTTCTTTATGTTGAAATACAATAGAGAATTACAACAGTAATCAGTAAGGGAAAAATAACAATCGTCCCAACCATGTGACAATTAGCAATGAATTTACATGAAATTTGGATGACAAATCCAGCTTAAACAACTGTTCATCTTACAATATAAACCTCAGATATGCAATCATAAACATTCATAGGGTTAACTCACCCAGTTTTGGTAACAAATGTCAGGTTGAATGATGAAAAATGCAACACTTTTCAGCATCAAGATGGAGATTTTCATGTAACTTGGAACAATAAAAGCATGGTTTGAAACAGCGCCACCAATAGTCGGAAAGTATATAGCTCAACACTATTAAACTGCAATAGCGCCCTCTGTTGGACTAGCTAGTTTCTACAGCCGCCCCCAAATTTTAAACAGAAATTTGCATAATAACAGGAACCCTAACACTATACTACTGGTAACGGTCACGGTTAACACTTGGGATCAGAAACTGTGGCCATACAACCTGAAGGAGACAGGTGCTTGGGTAAGGAACATCCCGGTTGCAGCATGTGCAGCCTCTTCATCATACTTGGACAGTTGCACTAGTCTGGCAACTGGTCGCTTGTATGTCTTGTTGCCCACTTTCACGTTTACAACGCGAATCCTCCCATCACTGCCGGGAAGTAACTCGTCAACCTTGCCAACTGGCCACTGTGATCGAGTTAGTTGCGGGTCAGCAATCATCACGACATCTCCAACAGAGAGGTTTTCGACTTCCCGATTCCACTTTTGGCGAGCCTGCAAGGTAGGGAGGTAGGACCGTACAAACTGTCGCCAGAACTGATCTGCAATTACTTGACTATGACGCCAACTGCGACGACCCTTGAACACTGACTCATCATAGACTACCATGGGAAGTGCAGGGTCCCGCCGCCCCATGAGAAGCATGTTGGGGGGTAACTGGGTCAACATCAGCAATCTCTGAAGACGCATAGCCAAGGGGCTTAGAGTTCAGGATCCCTTCAACTTCGGTGAGGACTGTGCGCAGCACAGCCTCTGAAACAGTCCGGTCTCCAAGTACACCTCTAAGAGCGTTTTTGACGGATCGCACTTCACGTTCCTAGAGTCCTCCGAAATGTGGCGCATTGGGAGGATTGAACCTGAACACGACTCTGTATTGGGCAAGGCGCTGAACCAACGCTGGCTCCATTTCCTTCAGGGCCTGTTGAATCTCCGACTCAGCTTCTTTGAAGTTGGTACCGCAGTCACTCAATAATTGGTGAGGTACACCCCTACGGGAGGCGAATCTTCGATATGCCATCAAGAAGTGGTCTGTGTCAAGAGACTCGACAAGCTCGAGGTGGACAGCCCGGCTTGTCATGCTCTTGAAGATCAAGCCCCAACGCTTCTCCTGACGTCGGCCAATCTTCACTCGAAATGGACCAAAACAGTCCATACCATTGGAGAAAAAGGGGGCTTATGTAGTCGCAAACGAGACTTTGGCAAGTCAGCCATCTTTGGGACCTGAGGCTTCCCCCGCTATCGTCGACACTCTGGGCAGGTTCGGAGGACACCCTTGACAGCTGTCCAAAATGCTTATCAGCTTCTTGGATGAGGAGCTTGGTGACTGCATGGTGAGGGTCTAAGACAATTGGGTGTGGTTCTAAGTCAACTGACGCATCTTGTGACACTTTCCTTAGACGACCACCGACTCGTATCAGCTCCGCAGGGATGTCCAGTTCAGGAGCAAGCTCTAGGAGGCGACTATTCCTGGATAACTCTTTTCCCTTCTCCAAGGTAACGATATCTTCCCGGAAGTTGTCCAATTGCGCACGACGCAGAAGCTGGTTCTCCACTTCGAGTGTCTGCTCAGGGCTGAGAACCCCATCCACTCGTTCAGCAGCTGGAAAGAGATCCTGACTCAGGGAATCGACAAGGTCAGACCAACTCTGATGATTGCTGAAATCAAGTTCAGCCACCGGGCCTGCCACAGTGAGACCACAGAAGTTGGTTCCTTTCATCTCGTTGAGATCAGGGGTTGATGTGGCACGAGTCTGGGCTATGACGGATGCACTGTCACTCTGCCATGTATCAGGTTCAGCAAGTAGCCACGGAGGCCCTTCAATCCAGCGGGAGCCTGGACCCAACTCTGAAACTGAGAGTCCTCTGGTGATGTCATCTGCTGGGTTATCTGCGGAGCGAACATAACGCCATTCGCTGCCGGTTGTCAAAGTCTGGATTTCAGCAATGCGAGTGCCAACAAAAACTTTGAATCGACATGAATCTGACTGTATCCACGTCAACACAGTGGTTGAGTCACTCCACATTGTTACATACTGGATGTTGACATCAAGCGTCTGGGTAACAAACTGAGCAAGCTGTGCACCTTCAAGTGCCGCCATGAGTTCCAGACGTGGCATGGATCCACCTGGGGAGGGGTGTAGCATCGTGGTAATCGTATGGATGGGATATGCTCAAGCTCTGTACACCAGTCGTCCCACCTCTGCTTTATGTCAGCGTTGGTCACGACTTCATCCCAGTCCAACTTCTCCATCCACAATTCTTGTACTATCATCTTCGCTCGAGCAGTAAAGGGTGCAATGCTCCCAAGGGGCTCAAACTGGCAAGCCAGTACTCGAAGGGCAGTACGCTTGGTGAGTGTTCGGTTCTCTGGGACCTTTGCGGGATGGCATAACTCGTCGCTCTTGCAATCCCAACTCAGGCCCAAAGCTGGTTCCAATTCGCACCCCAAGTTGTCTAGGGAGAGAGATCGAATGTAGCGGTCAGAACGGACCGCGACGGGCAGATCTTCAACCACCTCAGGATGACTGCTAGCATATTTGACCATCTCGAACCCAGCTTCATGGAGACACTCTCTGGTACTGGCGACAAGTTCCCTTGCTTCTTCCTCACTGTGGCGACTGGCCAGTTGGTTATCCACATAGGTTTCACGCTCGATGGTTTTCTGTACAGCTGGATATCTTGCGTTGGCATCTATGGCAGCCTTCTGTAGGGCAAAGGTAGCGCAGCATGGGCTACAAGCGGCCCCAAATGGCAGCACCAGCCATTGGAAAACCAACCAATCATCTCGCTTTTCATCCCACCAAAGAAATCGGAACATGGGATGGTCTTCTGGAGGGAGTCTCACCTGGTGAAACATCCCAGTTATGTCACCAGAAACAGCGACCCTGCCTTGACGGAATCGAAGTAACACCTCCATCAGGGAAGAATGCAGGGTTGGCCTGGCTAGCAACTCATCGTTGAGGTTCTGGCCCATGGATTCAAAGGAGCAATTGAACACGAGACGGTATTTGTTGCTACTGAAAACCACGTGATATGGGATGAACCAGCTTGATGTTTCCATCACTAGTACCTCAGCCAACGTCCCAAGTTCCTGGACGTGTCCCTGATTCTTAAGCTTCTGGATATACGTGGTACAAAACTCCGCTAGCTTTGAGTCTTTGTCCATCTTCCTCTTGTGTGCACGGGCCAGTGCTTCAACAGCTCTTGGGGTGCTTTGTGGAGGAATGGAAGGAATTTGGAGGAATTTGTTGCTTGGGTGCTGGAGTCCCTGTCTTCCCTGGACAGTCCATCCGAAGAGGGTTTTTACTGCAACGGGTGAACTAGTTTTTGGACCAGTTCTCACCTCGGTCGACATAGTCAGCTCAATGTGATCTGCACCAATCAAAACTGCAGGTCGGACTTTGTTTGCTGTGAATAGAGGCAACTCTCTCAGATGCGGCCACTTTGCTTGTAGTTTCTCTGCCGATAGATTATAATCAGCCAGTTGACATTCATCAGCAGTGAAGGCGCACTTGATCTGGAACTTCTGGTCAGGATCATTTCTGGCTGAGACAGTGAAATCGACACACTTGCCTTTCCAGTCGGCATCTCCGACCACTGTTTCAATCCGCACAGTTTCAGCTTGACTGGAAATTTCTAGTGATTGGACAGCTTGAGAGAGGATCATAGTGCGTTCGGCGCATTCATCAAGAACGCCAAAGGTGTCAAGTTTCCCGGATGGCCCGTACAATGTCAGAGGTACGACTTTTATCAGGACATCTCGATCGTAGTCCACTTTGGTCTTAGACCCCACTCCAGAACAAAGAACGGTGCCCTGGTTCTTGGGTGTCAACTTCACCACTTCATGTAGACTAGTACGGTGATCTTCCTGACAGTCCTTACACTTCTTTGGGAAAGGACAATCCTTTTCATGTTTCTTGGCACACTTAATACAACGCCCACTCTCCTTCAGCCTCTTAAGCCTTTGGTCTGGATTCAGCTGGGTGAACTTTCCGCAGGTTTCAAAGTAATGACCTGACTCATTGACATTACAGTAGAGGCAAGTGATCCGTTCAGCTGTCCCTGTAGCTGTGCTTGACGTCTTGGACGTGATCAACGACTTGTTAGCACTTGATACTGAAGCGCCTTTGGTTGGGTTTGGATGACTTACAGGCTGAGTAGTATGAGCCGTGTAAGTCCTGGTGGGTGCTAACTCCGAGTGTTTGCGAGCCGGTGGCTTGTGTTCTTCCTGGGGGCGGTCCTTCTTCCAAGGCTTCATTTTCTGTGACCTCTCAAGAAGGATAAGTCCCGCAGGACCGGTTTTGTCCTCCAGCCACTCTGTCAGATTCACCACCGTATACGTCTGACCTTTATCCTTTCTCCACATCTTGGACAGGTATTCGCTGTGCAACTTCTCGGGTAACTTCAGAGCCAACTCCACAGCATACTTGTGATTCTTCAGTTCTGTTTCGAGCTTTAGGTGCTTTGCCGTTTCAACCAGAGTCACCAATTCATCAGAAAAATCCCTCAAACCAGCCCAGTCATTGAGGTTAAGGGACGGGCGAATCTCCAGCTGAGTCAAAAGGCCCTGCACAATTCTTCCTTTATCCCCGAAGGCCTTGTCAAATTGCTTCATCGTGGTTGCATAGGCCTTTTCACCAAGGATCATATTGCGATCAGCCATCGCAAGGGGTCGTCCACCCAGATTGCTGCGTAGGTAAGCAAATTTCGTCGCCTCGGGTAGCTGAAACTCCGGTTTGCTCATGATGCTGTCCCACAATGACCGGAATACAACGTATTGCTTCACATTGTGTTCATCATCAAACCTCGGTACTTCTAGCTTCGGCAGACTGTCCACAAGCATGCCATATCTATACTGATAAGGCACGGCATGAACGTGGGCAGTCGGTTGGGGCGACTTGTCGTTACTGATCTGGCTGTGGGCGGAGTCATCATCCGGATGGTCGCTTCTGTCCGAGCCATCCGGGTCATCATCAGGTGGGTTTGAAGATTCACTGTTCTGGTTAGATTGCAGTGAGTCTTGACTCATTCTTGCAGTGCCGGAAATGGGATGAACTGTCCTTTCTGGAGGAGACGTTATGCTGACCGGGGTCGACTGGACCATCACTGGCAGCTGATTTACTCCAGGCACTCCGAATTGTGGCCCCGTTGTGATTCTGGGACTGCTGGCCGCCCCCTGAAAGGTATTAGACATGATGGGGGTGTGTGCAGTGTTCAAAGTGAAGCCCGCATGTTGCAAATGGAAACCTGTATTTTGAACATGAGGGGGGTTTATACATGACATGGTTATTGACACCTGCACTACACACAATAGGGGGGTTATACATAACAGGGTTATTGACATTTGTATTGCACACAATAGGGGGATCATACATGACATGGCTAAAACTGTTTACTACATGACTACTCGATCTAGGAATATTGTTCATGGAACTGCACTGATCGCGGAGACCATGGGGCAGTGTTATGTGCACCACGATACTTGAAGGAAAGTCCGCTAAATGATGAGTTTAGGACGCTGAGGCAATAATTCAAAATCAGAAACAAAATAATTGGAAGCTGATGCAAAAAGTTTCACTTCTCAGATTGGAATATCAAATTATTATAATTGATGTCTGATTTTATATAAACAAAGCAGAATGAAATAAATGACAATCAGTTCCCACAATGGCAAGTAGTGTTATATGAAATAAACCAGTGTTACAGGAGCTAGGGTATAGAATTTGCGTGGTCTACAATTGTCAATTAACTTAAATTCCAGTACAAAATGCCGTTACGTTCAACTGTTGCTTAATTTCCCTAAATTTCCCTTATAAATTCCCTTTATAAATTGCTAAATTTCCTCAACTTCAAATTTCCCCGAACGCCAAGCTGGGTTGTGTTATGGCATCAAACTCGCCAACCTGTCACACAAAATATTTTATGGAGCAAGAAACCAAAGCTAGAATTAGACATACAACAGTCACTGTAAATTGCAGACATGAAACAGTCACAGTGTGCGACCAGGTGATTCACTCACGAAAGTTTTCAACAGATCGAGAGGACAAATGAACCTTAAATTACTCTTTTTCCAATCAACATATGAACCTAAGATTTGTCCAGTAGTATCAGGGATAGTGATGTGAGACTATGAGACACAAATCATGCAATAGATCTAAAAATGTTATCATCAAAAGCTGAGTTTAGGGGCACAAACTATTCTTCAATGTACTCACACATTGGCAGCTGATCCGAAAAGGACGGTATTGCTCATCACTTTCCAAGATGGCAAAACACATGTAGATTAATGCGCCTCACAACCCCTCTCCTGATACTAGTAGCTCAACAAAAGTGTCTTTAACAGTTACAGGATACAATCTCCCACATTAATAGAATTTTACAAATAAGTGAATTCAGGATTGATGCGTCCAAACTGTTTTAAATAATTACTTTTCCTCAAAGGAACTATTTGCACTACATGTGGATGAATAGCGGTGACATGTCGCTACACGGTATAAATAGAACTGATGAAATCACGGTCTCACACGAAGACTACGGAGTCTCTCAACTTCCCTGCTTTGAGACCATGCGCCCCCGAATGGTCCTTTATTAGCATTTCCAATTATAGGCCACAATTACAAAGAATTTTTTTTCTAAATATCAGTAATCATAGACATACAAAATGATGTAAACTACAATGTTATAAAAGCGTACAATAAAAAACACCTTGTTTAAAATGAAGCTAGGCAATCAGTTGGTATGGGATGAACCCGACTCACACAGAGCAAGTACCTTGAAAACCGAGCATTATTAACATATCACGTCCATACATATACATGAATATGCATTGAGTAAACTAGATACATGTATATAACACTGTGAACAAATCTACAGAATGGTTTTCTTACTAGTTATACAATGCACAAAGATGTGTTAATTTACATTCACACACAATAGTTAACGCTATGTTATACTATGGTTATACCTAACATCGATCAATGGCTCCTTTTATCCCACGGCAATAATTAATCATACCATCTGAGTTAAGATGGCATCCATCTGAGAGGCACTTGGGGTGGTTAATTCTCCGCTGTGCATACATTGTAGCCTTTGGATATCTTTCCAATGTTGCACTGAGAAGGGAGTTGAAGCGTTTTACCCTATGATTAAATGTTGAGACCCCAACCTGTCCAGCTCTTGAGATGGTTGTTCTTTTGATTACCGATAAGAAGATTATATGGTTCGGAGTAATTCCCCAGGTTGCAATCAATTCTAGAAACTTAACAACCATTTCGACCACTTTTCCAGGGGTACAATCTGGATTGCACAGATCATTCGTTCCAAGATCCACAATGAGTACATCGATTGATCTAGATTTCATCTTACTCAAATAATGAGGGATAGAATCGAAAATCCGAGAATAGGTCAACCCTGGATGACCTTCAACAAATATGCTACAACTATCATCTAAGCCTATTAAGGATGACACTTCGACATGTTGTTCCCGAGCATGCCGAAGAAGGCGAGTCGGAAATGAATGTCCAAATAAGAATACTGCCTGTTTACTAGACATCATCGAGTGATGCAATAATCTCCTCTGAATATATCTTATTCAGTCTTCTTTACAGCAGTCTCTGATATAAAACAAGTAAACAAAACATATTTAGGTCAAAAAATAAGTATAATTGGCTTATCGACTGTTCTGTATAAACCAAAAGTTCACAGCAGATCTCTTCTGCAGAGTTGTATAAATGCACAGAGCTAATTAGAATGTTATTTCACGTCACAAACATGGACGATATACATATCAACTACAGTATATATATGATGGGTGAAGAGGTGGCATAAGGCCGGACCTGTAAAATACTTGAAACAGGCAAGTCCCTTCCCCAAATAAACCTACAAAGGTCTGAGACTTATCAGACGCTCTATGAACTTACAGAATCTTGCAAAGGTCTGAGACTTATCAGAACCTCTTGGAACTTAAAAAATCTTACAAAGGTCTGAGGCTTATCAGAACCTCTTTGAATGTAAGGCTATATAAAGCTAAGTAATGGGGTTAGGCCAGTCACCTAACCTCTTCTTCCGGATACGCTCCGAACGCCTAGGTTCGGGGTCATGGACTGGTAGTGAGAGTGGTTCTTTACCACTGGGTGATGAAGTGCTTGGCTTCATCACACTAGACTCTGAAGTCGGTTGTGTGATTTTACGACTGGGTGTATCGGGAGCCTTAGGGTCAGTTGCTGGAGCTAACATCCATTCCCAATCTAGAGAAGAATCATCGTCATCGATATCAACCCCACCTTCGTTGTCAACGGAGGGTAGGTTCAATCGGGGTTCTTCCAAACTTGGTTCAACTGATTTCCCTCTTGGATCAAGAACAATCATCTTTCTATTAACCCAACGATCAACACCACCATCAAACGGTTTAATTGCATACAGGTCTCCCTCTTTGTTGGACTTTACCACTACATACTGTTGTTCCCCATAAGTATCTGCTAGTTTATGTCGCTGAGTAAACGCGCACTGTTTTAGAAGTACACGGCTACCAACAGGCAAAGGACTTACATAAGCCCGTTTGTCATAGCGACGTTTGTTAGCCTGGGCTGCTTTAACAAGACGCTGCTTAGCAATCTCATGGGTTTCGCGAATGATATCTGCTTGTTCCTTGGTAACACTCTCATTCCAGTTGTTATTGGTGTTGTTGAGAAGTTGATCCAAGGGTACAGTAGGCTCACGACCGAACATTAAAGTATATGGTGCGTATCCGGTAACACTGTGGGGGGTCGAGTTATAAACAAAAACCAAGTGCGGCAGCAGCTCAGGCCACCGTTTCCGTTTCTTATGATCGAAAGACTTGATGAGACCGCATACAGTTTTATTGAAACGTTCCGTTTGAGCGTTTCCTTGAGGGTGGTACGCAGTAGTTCGATTTCTTTCTATAACGTACAATTTGCATAGTTCACTGATGACACCACTTTCGAAGTTTTGGCCACGGTCAGAATGTAATTGTAACGGTACCCCATACCGTGAAAACCAATGATCCCTCAAGACTCGAGCAACGGTGGAGGCTTTTTGGTCTCTACATGGGACGGCGACAGCAAATTTCGTGAACGAGTCCGTCATGACAAGTACGTCCTCAAGATTACCTAAGCCTTTGTCAAGCTTGAGAAAGTCAATAGCTAGTCTTTCCAACGGACGGAACGATAGCAAATAGCGCATGGGTGGCCGGACAGTCGGAGTGGGTGTTTTGGTGATTGTACAGTGGAAGCAATTTTGAATATGCTCACGAACATGTTTGTTCATACCAGGCCAAAAGCAACGCTTTTTCATGAAACCCAAGGTTCTACCCACTCCCTGGTGACCCCATTGATCATGTGACGCCTCTAAGATTGTTGCACGAAGTGAGCTCGGAACTAATAGCTGGTAACACTGTCCTAACCCAGGTTCATTATGGGTACGGTACAAAACCCCTTGACGCTCAACAAAACAAGGCCATTCTCTGATCCACCCCTTTACTGCAGTGGTGAGGAGATTAGAGTCCAAAACTTCCTGTTGCAGCTGCGCTGCATGCCTTGCTTGAGGGCGCGCTTCAGTTTCGTGCATTCGCTTGAGGGCGCACTTTCTGCCGCGACCGCGCGGCTGACTCCACCGCTAAAAGTGATTTTCAGGGTTCAAAACCAGCATTTTCATACACAAATAGGGGTTCAGAGATACTCGGTTGGGTAAGTGATTATTCCGTAAATTGTTATTTGACTGAGGGATATAGATTTGGGGGCATAAATGTACTTATTGGGTAAATATTGGGTCTTTTTGATGGGCTTTCCTGCATGTTTTGATACAATCTGTTATTATACAAGTTATTGTAGGAACATGGACTCATCTGATCGCCGTTATTACCTGGTTCTCATTTGTATATGTGTGTTGTTTCACCTTACTGATAGGCTAATTTAGGGATGATAATTATGGCAATTACTCCTGATTACCTCATTGTTTATTCTCCATTTCCCTTTCTAATTAAAGCTCACATTAAAAGGGAGGGATAATCACCGAAGCTGTTCGAGGTGTTATCGGGAGGGTGTTTTTACTGTTCGTACAACTGTTGTTCAACTGTCTTGGCTGTACAACTGTATCCCGATCATCCAGTGTATCCAGTGTAAGCAGATCATCCAGCATGTCCAGTAAACTATACTGCTAATAACTCATCTCCGTGCCCACTGGTGCCCATATACCTGTACACTGAATTGTTTGTGCTGGCAAATAAAAGATTGAAGTGAGCAACCATACAAATTGGATTGAGTCTACAGAAAATTGGTCCTTCGAACCGGATACAATCCAGCAATTTATCGACATGTCTGTCAACGGTGAACCCCAAGCTGAAGAACCCCAAGCTGAAGAACCCCAAGCTGAAGAACCCTTAAGCCGAAGAGTCACGACCTGCTCGTCATCGGCGTTACCCGCTACACTTAGCCCATGATCACCAGGTGACACTTCCGCCTAGTCTACAGCAGCAATCAGAATTATTTCAGCCCCAGCGACCAGTGGATCCTGGCCGACCTCCCTCCATTCGCAGTGGAATCTCACACAACTCCTCAGCTAGATCGTCCAGGTCGGAGATCGTAAAGCGTCTTGCCGAACAGGAGTCACACAGGAAACTTGAGGAGCTCCGGAGAAAAGCAGATGAGGAGAAAGCAAGGGTCCAATTCCAGGCCATGCAGAGGGGAATTGAGATTGACTCAGACTATAGGCAGGCAGAGATTCAAGTAGAGACTGAGAGACTGCAACATGAACTTGATGTTGTTGAACAAGAAGAGCGAAATCAAATGGAGTCAGGTCATAACTTGCCGGGTCGGGATGAGTCAATCAAAAATAGAACAAGTGCATGGGTAAACAACGGGGTAAGTATCTCTGAGCCCACCGTGTTTACGCCGGCTGGTACTGATACCTCAGTGAATCCTTGCACATATATGCCAGTGTCTGCGCCATTGCTGCAGCCCAGCATTGCCACCTCCATGACAAGTTACGTTTCTCACGGGGCGGCGAGCGCGCAAGCAACAAGTTCCTTGCCACATTCCTTTAACCCAAATCTTCCCGCATTTTTACCTAACACCATGTTAGTTCAGTCTTTGCCCACAGTTCGTTTGTTCAATGGTGTACCAGTTGCACAGTTCCCGTCTATCAGTGGCGCACCAACAACAAAAGGATTGGGTGGTCAGTGCTCAACGCAACGTGGTCCTCCTAGTCAGCAGCCTGCAGGGAACGACAAGGGTCCGGGACCGCCAACCAGTAGAGCAGACGTTTCCAGTGGTGAAGAGCAGAGTGAACCAAGTTCCTCGGGTGATGATGACCCATCAGAGGGTGATAGAGGTAACAAGCATTCATGCTGTCCTAAGGGAACTTCCAAAGCGACGGACAAGCCCCTAACTCCTGTTGCCAATGCCAGTAACAGTCCTGTGACAGCTTTCACAGGCCCATACGGCTGTGGCTTTGGAATTTGGGACAGTCTCCCGAAGCTGGACATCCCTAAGTTTGACAGTGAGCATGATGTTAGGCAGTACGTTACCTTTAGGACATTGTGGGACAGCATCATGAAGGGCCCTATGTGCCACCTACCAGAGGCCACCAAGTTCACCTACCTGCGAAGTCACCTTGGAGGTCGTCTACTTGCTATCGCCGATCGCAACCTCATCTTGGGAGATGGAGCATATGCCGCCACAATGAAGCAGTTTCACAAGGCATATGGAGATCCAGCACGAATAATCCAAGGCCTACTCGATCAGCTGGAGTCTCGTCCTGTCCTGGCTCACAACGATTGGTCTGGACTCCGTGACTTCTCTGATGAGCTAGCTACTGCAGTAGAGACAGCAGAAAAATTCGACTTCCGCGATGAACTTAAGCATCATCGCTATGCCACTGAACTGGTAAAGAAATTACCTGAAAGGCTGCATTCAGAATTCCTTTCCAAAATGTGGAATCAAGACCAAGGTATGAAATACACCGTACATCATCTCAGCCAGTGGTTAAAAAAGAAGACCGGTCCTGCTGGTTTGATCCTCCTAGAAAGGGCAAGCAAGTCGAAGTCCACCAGGGAGTCCTCACCGTGGAAGAGTCAAGGGCAGAAGAGGTCTTCTGGAAGCCAACCACATCCATCGAGGTCTTACATGGCCCAAGCTGGTCCTCAGTCGGCAACAGCTACGCCAACAATCAAGAATAAGAAGGCCAACTGGGAGGCTAAGGCCCAAAGTCCAAGCAAAACATCTGCAATGACTCCTGAGAGGATTACTTGTCTGTACTGCAAAGTAAAAGAGACAGGCCATTACCTGGAGACTTGCGAAAAATTCAAGGGACTGAAACGGGACCAGAAACTCCAGTGGTTGACAACAAACCAGCGCTGCAGAAAATGTGCTAAGAAGCACGAAAAGGATTGCCTGTATCCAAAAAAGTGTGAAGAATGCCACGCTGACCATCGCACCAGTCTCCACGAACTCAATGAGCCAACAGTAAAAGAAGCTGTATTGTGCTCAGGAGTTGGGCCTAGTCCAAGAGTTGACTACAACCGTGATGTGCTGATCAAAGTTGTACCACTCACTGTTCATGGACCTGGGGGTAGCATCGACACCTTCGGCGTGTTGGATGAATGCGCCGAAAGGACCATGGTTCTCCAGTCAGTTGTGGAACAGTTGGATATTTCAGGCCACAAAGAGAATCTTTGCATTACCACAGTGATGGGCGACACTAAATGGAAGGGAGAGTGTGTCAACTTTCAGGTCTCGGCTCGGGGAGACGGCGAAAAGTATGCTATACAGTGCGCATTCACTGCCCCAGATGTTCAACTGGTCGATTACAGTGTGTCCGCAGAACAGCTACAAGACAAGTGGCCTGACTTAAGAGGGCTAGCCTTGTTTTCTGCCCATAGAGTTCAACCGTCTGTGCTAATCGGTGCAGACCATGTTGAACTCACGCTCTCATCTGAAGCCCGCTCTGGTCCAAAGTCTAGTTCACCTGTGGCGGTGAACACCTTGTTTGGCTGGACTGTTCTTGGTCACCAAGGTCTGCAGATCCCTGGCAAAACTTTGGAAGGCCAAAGGGTTTTGTTCACTTCATGCACCTTACAGCAACCAGACCAGAAGCTGCACCAGATGATGGAGCAATTTATGACAGTTGACAAGTTACCGCAGGTAAATGAGAAACAGGCAACCCGCTCAAGGAATGACAAGTTGGCCATAAGCATCTTGGAGGAGAACACCAAGGAAGTTGAAGTTGATGGTGTGAAACGACTAGAGACCCCGCTTTTGTGGAAACCTAACCACAAGAGACCTTCCAATCTCCCACAAGCAGTACTGGCATTGGCCCGCTCAAACCAGAGGAAAATTGAACGGAACCCAGATTTGTCTGATTATTGTCGCTCATACATCCGGAAGCTCCAAGACCAGGGACAAGTGAGGAACCTTGGACCGGTGGATGATTTGTCGGCGGACCAGCAACAGGGTTGGTACATTCCATGTCATGTTGTGCACAGCAGTGAAAAAAACCGTCTAGTTTTCAATTGCTCGTTTGAGTGTGGTGGACAGAGCCTCAACCATGAATTGCTTGCTGGTCCAACTTTAGGTCCATCGCTCTTGGATGTTTTCTTGCGTTTTCGTCAGGGTAAGGTGGCAGTGTTGGGCGATATTACCGCCATGTTCCATCAAGTCAGACTTCTTCCTGAAGAGCGACGAATGTTCCGATTTCTTTGGAAAGATGACCAGCTTGACAAGTGGGTTGTCTTTGAGTGGATGGTGCTGCCTTTCGGGGCTGCATGCAGTCCCTGCTGTGCAGCATTCGCCCTTCAGAAAGCTGCTAGGGACCGGGTCGAGCAGTATCCACAGGTTCAGTATACAGTAGAGAAAGAGACGTATGTGGACAACCAGCTGGCCAGCCGAGATAGCGAACAAGAAGCAACCGAACTTGTTCTTGGCACACGCAAATGCCTACAAGAAGTAGGATTTCAGATGGTGAAATATGCAAGCAGTCACCCCAAAACACTTCAAGGTCTTCCTGTGGAGGCATGCTCAACTCGTCAGGTGCAGTCATTGTCCCTGGGTCTACAAGAAGGCGATCCGGAACCGGCTCTGGGATTATGTTGGGACTGGAAGAGTGATGAGTTGCATCACCCAGCGAAGGTTCCAGACAACCAGGTGCTGACTAAGCGCATCGCTCTCAGAGTCCTTGCCAGTCAGTTCGAACCACTGGGGGATATTGCACCGTTCACTGCAAGAGCCAAGTTGTTGGTTCGTGACCTGTGGTTAGAAAAGTTGGATTGGGATGAGAGGGTGACAGACACCGGCTTGACCCAGAGGTGGGAGGAGTGGTGCACCGAGTTGGAACACATCCCACAGATGCGCCTGCCGCGGTGTTACACACCACCATCGGTTGACACAGCAACAGCAAAGAGGTCTCTGCATATATTTTGTGATGCGTCAGAGAAGCTGTACGGAGCAGTTGCCTACCTGCGTACAGTTGACAGCCAAGGGGAGGTCCATTTGAGCTTTGTATTGGCCAAATGCCGGGTTGCACCAAAGCGCCTACTATCCATGCCACGTCTTGAGCTGATGGCAGCTCTCCTCGGTGCCCAAATTTGTCAAGTTGTCCTCGAAGCCCTGACAGTTGAGATCCAGTACACTCTGATGTGGAGCGACTCCACCACAGTACTCAGCTGGATTCAGTCAGAGTCATGCCGTTTCAAGGTATTTGTTGGAACCCGCATAGCTGAGATACAAACATTGACTGATGACATTGAGTGGCGCTACGTCCGGAGTGAGGACAATCCTGCTGATGATATAACCCGTGGCTTACCGGTTTGCAAGCTGGGAGAAGGCTCAAGGTGGACTGAGGGCCCAAAGTGGCTTCTGGATCCACAAGAGGAATGGCAGAAAGACAGTGCAAGTGTCTTGGCCCAAACTCGTGTCAACTCATCAGTAGAACAGAATGAAATAAGGAGTGTCTCCTGTGGACTCACAGTTCCTACTTCAGAGGTAGACGTTGATTTCAAAGCCTTTCCCAGTTGGGGAGAGTTGGTAAGTGCGGTTGGTCAGCAGCGTTACACAGATGACTAGTTGCTCGAGGGTACCTTAACTCCAGATCAACGCCGTGAGATCGAGATCTTACTGCTACGACAGGCACAGAAGGACACCTTCAAGGAGGAAGTCACTGCACTTTCATCCAATAAGGAATTTTCTCGTAATAGTCGTCTGCTGGAATTGGCGCCTGAACTTGACCCAGCTGACAAATTGATCAGAGTTGGAGGTCGGCTCAGAAGGGCAGCCAAAAACGACTCAATTTCTATTGAACCTCATCCAGTCGTACTTGACCCACATCATCCTGTGACCAAACTCCTGATAAAGGACGCTGATGCCTATCTCAGTCATCAAGCTGGAACTGAACAGGTGTTTGCCCGTTTGCGACGCCGATTTTGGATCCTTAGGGGACGCAGTGTGGTCAAGGGAATCTTGCATGCTTGTCCTGGATGCCGTCGCTGGCGAGGAACACCCAAGGTCCCACGTATGGGTGATCTTCCAGTGCGCAAGTTGCGTTTGGGAAAACCACCTTTCTACTCGACAGGAATGGACTGTTTTGGGCCCATGACAGTTAAAATTGGGCGAAGACAGGAAAAAAGGTGGGGGTTGCTTTTTAAGTGCATGACCACTCGTGCCGTGCATCTTGACCTTCTCGAGAGCCTTGATGCAGATCACTTCCTGATGGCCTACAGGCGCTTTGCCTCCCGCAGAGGAGTTCCGTTTGAACTTCTAAGTGACTGTGGAACCAACTTTAAGGGGGCCAATACAGAAGTCGAGCAGACCTTGAAGGCAATGGAACCAGATATTGTCCAGCGACTTGCCAAGTATCGAGTCAAGTTCAAATTCAATCCCCCCAACGCACCCCATTTTGGGGGTACCTGGGAGCGGGAGGTCAGGTCAGCCAAAGGGGCACTAAAGGCTGTACTTGGAGATAGGACAGTAACAGATGCTGTGTTACGCACCGTGCTAGTGGAGGTCGAAGGCATCCTAAATTCAAAACCTCTTGGATACGCTTCATCTGAGATAGCCGACGTGGATCCGGTTACTCCAAATATGCTCCTGATGGGAAGACGGGATCCAGCGCTACCAATGGTAGTCTATGACGAGAGCGAACTGAGGGGTCGTAGGAGTTGGCGGCACAGCCAAGTGCTAGCTGATCAATTTTGGCGTCACTTCGTTAGGTCCTATCTTCCTAGCCTTCAAACCCGCCAGAAGTGGCAAAGGGAAGAGGAGAACCTGTCGGAAGGAAATGTTGTTATGATAGCGGATCCTCAGCTATCAAGGTCGCAGTGGCCAGTGGGTACTGTTACTCAAGTCTTTCCCAGTGACGACAAGCGAGTAAGGGTGGTCAACGTTCAAGTGAACAACAGAGTCTACAAGCGTCCTGTTGCCCGGCTCATAAAACTAGCCAAGTATGACGAAGGTGATACTCCCGGTTTGACCAAGGTTTTACTCACCCAGATCCCCATTCCCTTTAGGCTCTGTGGCATTAGGAACTGAGTGCGTGCGCAAGAGTAGCAAACCTGGTGTTTCGTGTTAACTGCATTTTCCAGTGTTGAAGTTTAACTAAAAGTTTTGAAGTTTTTGTAATTGCAATACCAGTTTGCAAATTTCTTGTTGAAATTTGGAGGCGGCCATGTTGCAGCTGCGCTGCATGCCTTGCTTGAGGGCGCACTTCAGTTTCGTGCATTCGCTTGAGGGCGCACTTTCTGCCGCGACCGCGCGGCTGACTCCACCGCTAAAAGTGATTTTCAGGGTTCAAAACCAGCATTTTCATACACAAATAGGGGTTCAGAGATACTCGGTTGGGTAAGTGATTATTCCGTAAATTGTTACTTGACTGAGGGATATAGATTTGGGGGCATAAATGTACTTATTGGGTAAATATTGGGTCTTTTTGATGGGCTTTCCTGCATGTTTTGATACAATCTGTTATTATACAAGTTATTGTAGGAACATGGACTCATCTGATCGCCGTTATTACCTGGTTCTCATTTGTATATGTGTGTTGTTTCACCTTACTGATAGGCTAATTTAGGGATGATAATTATGGCAATTACTCCTGATTACCTCATTGTTTATTCTCCATTTCCCTTTCTAATTAAAGCTCACATTAAAAGGGAGGGATAATCACCGAAGCTGTTCGAGGTGTTATCGGGAGGGTGTTTTTACTGTTCGTACAACTGTTGTTCAACTGTCTTGGCTGTACAACTGTATCCCGATCATCCAGTGTATCCAGTGTAAGCAGATCATCCAGTAAACTATACTGCTAATAACTCATCTCCGTGCCCACTGGTGCCCATATACCTGTACACTGAATTGTTTGTGCTGGCAAATAAAAGATTGAAGTGAGCAACCATACAAATTGGATTGAGTCTACACTTCCTGACCAGGTTGCCAAGGTATCTTCCAAAGCGCCCAGACTTTACCAAGAGTGTCATCCCCTTTCTGTAACGAGGCTAACTCCTCAAAAGAATAGGACGGCAGTACTGATGGTGTAACCCCAGGTAAGTCACTTTCATTATTAACCACACCAGCTTCAAAACATGAGACATGACAAGACCTTACACCAGGTGGGATTGGAGTACAAGTACTCTTAGACTCTACATGGAGGGGCTCTACTGTTCCTACCGCAACCTCATTCGGAGGGTTTCGACTAAGTGCATCGGCACACTTCGAACGACCAGTACGATATTTGACTTCTAGGTCAAATGGAGCAAGTTGGGCCACCCAGCGTTGCTCGGTTGCTCCCAACTTCGCGGTTTGGATATGGGCCAATGGGTTATTATCTGTCCATACCACTGTTTTCTTTCCCATGAGGTACTCCTTAAACTTTTCAGACACTGCCCATTTTAGAGCCAACAGCTCTAACTTAAAACTAGAGAGGTCGCTATAGTTACGTTCCGGTCCCCGCAAACCCCGGCTAGCATATGCTACTGGATGAAGGTTGCCCCCCTCATCATATTGAGATAGACAGGCCCCTAGGCCTTTCAGAGATGCATCGATCTCGAGCACAAAATCTTTCTCAAAACACGGGAATGCCAAAACAGGGGCCTCACAAAGAGCCTGTTTGAGAGTCTGAAAAGCATTGTCAGCCTCGGCTGACCATGCAAATGGATCACCGGTGTTCCCTGCTTTTTCCGGTGCTTTGACGCATAGCGCATGAAGTGGAGCAGCAATAGCGGAAAAACCTTTCACATAGCGCCTGTAATATGAGGCAAGTCCGAGGAATGACCTCAACTGTGTCGCTTTCGAGGGAATAGGCCAATCTCTGACCCTAGCAACTTTATCTGGATCTACAGAGATTCCTTGATCACTAACTATGTGGCCCAAGTGCGAAACCGATGTCTGGAAGAGTCTACATTTAGACCCTTTTAGCTTAAGGCCATTCTCCTCAATACGTGAGAAGACCTTACCTAGTCTACTGATATGTTCCTCAAACGTGGTTGAGAACACCAATACATCATCAAGATACAGTATGACTTCTGTCTGATTAAGGTCTCCAAAGATCAACTCCATCACCCGTTGAAAGGTGCTGGGGCTATTTGTCAAGCCTTGCGGTAAACGCAAGAACTCATATAGTCCCCAAGGGACTCGGAAAGCTGTCTTCGCGATTGCGTCGGGATGTAGTGACACCTGAAAATAACCGTGGGTCAAATCTAACGAAGAAAAGAACTTTGAGCCACCTAGGGATTCGAGAGTTTCCTCTATTCTTGGTAGAGGGAAGGCGTCTCGCTGTGTCTTTGAATTTAGACAACGATAATCTATACAAAGTCTTAACTGTCCATTTTTGTTTTTGACTAAGACAATCGGACTTGCATAGGGGCTCGCTGATCTACGTATGATATTTCTATCGAGTAGATCCTGCAGCATTTTCTTGACCTCACTTACTTGATCAGGCATCACACGCCTGTAAGGCAAATTTACAGGTCTATCGTCAGAAAGTTTGATCTCATGCGGGATGAGATTGCAATAGCCTAGGTCTAGTGGGCTCGTGGAGAAGGCCTTTGTGTGTCTCTGTATCAACTTAGCTGCTTCAACAGCGTTACTGTAACTAAGGTTCTGTAAACTTAACCCTGGGGGTAAGGACAATTTCGTCCCATCTGGGAACACAAACACTTCCCCGGGTTCATCAATGGAGGCATGCTCAGGTTTTTCCTGAGTGGTGTCACTAGACACTCGCCCGAAAGATTCAACATTAACCTCAGTAGGATCTGTCTCATCAGAGACAATATTTTGTACAGAGATCTTCAGTCCCTCATCATCAAGATCCACCAAAACCTCTTCAGCTAACTCACTCGAAGTAGCAACTGCTATTTCAGTATTACCAGGCACCAACACTGGCTCGTCACCAGTGTTGATAATGATCAACAACAAGGACGTACTGTTTGGCTGGACGCCTTCCAGTACAACAAGCGATGGACATAGGCCATCGTGACATACACTATTATCATCCTCCCTACAGGATGGGTTAACAAAACAAGGCTGTAACAGCAATAAGCTGTTATCTGGACAGTCTGCGTCTACATTACAACTGATGCTCTTTGCAGACTCTGGAGGAATTAACTCATTCACTCGAGTTTTCACACAAAACGTGTGACTGCTAACACCGTTAGCATCACTGTTATCCAAATCACTATTCTCAACAAGTCGAAACCATTTCAGAGCAAGGTCCCAGTCGGACCCAGGTTTTATGTGGTTCACACACCCTTGATGGTGTGCAACCAATCACAAGATGTTGCACCCCAACAATATAGGGAATCTCTCCCTGCGTGGATTGGTGCCTTCGGGAGATTCTGATGATGTTACCAAAAAGCTTGCAGTGAGCTTCTGCCCAAATATCCCAATGTTAGTCCTCAAATAACCCTTAACAGGTATCTCAAGATCATTGGCACCCCTAAGATTTATGAAGGTTCCTACCTCATTTAACTCCCCAACTACTGATGCTAAGTGTTCACGATAGAATTTTGATGAAATCAATGAAGTCTCTGCCTTGGTATCAAGGATGCAATATACCATTTTACCCCCAATACAGATTCTAGCTGTGGGACTTTGGGCAAGAAGTTCCCCACGGAGAGTTTGTGCATTAACCCTATCACCCCCAGCCAGTACAGATGAATCAGGAGTGGGCACCGACACCCCCTCTGCCACAGTGCCCTCTATGACAGGGGGACAACTTTTCCCAGACTAGGTTGCGCAGCCACATTCTGTTCTGTTTTAGATTGAGGTATGTTCGGCGGAGGCCCAGTGGCCTCGCCGGCTCTCCTAAGATCATTTTGCCGTTTGTAGCAAACTTCAGCATCATGTCCCCGTTTTGAACAATAGGTACACTGAGGGACAGGGCGCCTTGGTTGATATTGCCTATTGTTTGCAAGTTGACCTACCACTTTGCTCAATTCAATGACTACTTTACCTACTTCTTGCAACTGAACAGTCATACCCTCAACTAGTTTTATGAGTTGATCTTGCCTTTCGGACATAGATTTGAGTGTTGTCTGATCGGAAGGTCGTGTTGTGACCTTGTCAACAAGAGTGGGAGTTGGTTCTGCATGATAGGGACTGTCATGTACCGGACCACTGGAAACTGAATCTAAGTCTTGGAAGAGTTTAAGCGCTATGTCCCGAAACTCGAAAAAGGACATGTCTTGGTAATCCATCTCTAACTTTCGTAATTCACGGCGAACATACGGCCTTGCTGCTCCCTTTATAAATTGCTCTTTAAGGGCCTTCTCTCTTAGTCGTGCAAATGCCTCACTTTCCTGTGGGTCAGCCGCAGCAGACTCTACGCGGTTATAGAAAAGCATAAGTGCGCGTCCAAAATCTGCCAATGACTCGCCCTCTAATTGTGTGCGGGCATAGAATGCACCGTTTAGTGATTGTACCGACTCCTGAGGACCGAATCGCGATTGCAAAGTTGCAATCAGCTTCGCAAAATCTTTATGATCTTGCTTGGGACAACAAAGTATCTCTTCCTTAGCTACTCCTCCAAGGTGGTCCAATACTGCAGAAACCCTATCACCACCCTTAAGGCCTAATTGTCTGCAGTATGTATCTAACTCATCTAACCATTCGCCAAGGGTTAGGTCTCCAGTGTTCCTAGGGCGACCATAGAATTTAGTTAACTTAACTGTAGGAGCCCTTTGATATTTCAGGTTTTGAAGGGCACCTGCAAGTGTTTCAGCCAGAGCCTTCTGAGACTGAGCGAGAATTTCCCCAAGTGCCTCTGGGGTTGCCATCTTTTGAGGTACTCCCAAAAAAATCAATCAAGAAAATGATAGATGGGGATTTCTGTCAAGTTAGCTGTATACCCCTTATACTAGTAAATATACACAACGTGGAATTGGGTGTCTTTCCCTAAAATTCCATCAATAAACTGTTTACCATGTAAGTAAACACTACAATATCGCTTTCCTTTAAGCGCAACTTCAGAAGGAGTTACAAATGTATTAACAATCTCACTTCTACACTCAAAAGTTACTGATTGGCATATAAGATATGCT